CAGAGTGAAAATATGCTTGTTTTCCACAAGTGAAACCCAAGAATCTTCCCTGAGCAAAGCATGTTTCAGGAGTTTACAGTTTCATCTTACTGAATAAAACATAATTCATGCAATTCTCTGACTGCTCAAATCTCTGATAATTATGAATTTTCCTCTAGGAAAAATATGTATTTACTCAGAAAGAAGTTGAAGCATTTTAAACTTCTTCCCTCACACTACTCAAAAAAGTTGACCATATTTGTTTCATTTCAACTCTTATCAAATTTTTGACTTTGACTTTTTGACTGTTTTTTGCAACTCCACATATCTTTATCTTCTTAGATTAATTTTGATTTTAGAATCTCTAAAGTATAGTCACTCTTCTGTATCAATAATCTCCAAACCATTTCCCATATTCATTTTAAAAAAATCTGTAAACAATTTCCTTAAGTGAACTGTGAATTACTTCCCTCTCTAACAAAACGGGTAGATTTATTATCCTTTTTCTTTGAAATGTCTCTAACTTCAGTACCTTCTTAGCTCTATTATCTCCATTTTTATCACTCTGGGTTGGTGGGGTGACCTCCTCAGATTTTGCTAGACAATGAACTGTAAACGATGCTTAATCTCCATACCCTTGATAAATTGAACTAGTTTGAGAAAGAAGCAGGAAGTACTATTGGTTCCTCCTCATCAACAAAAATCTTTAAAGTAGTCTGCATGAGGTAAACCATCTTTGCTTCCTTCAAAAATCTGCGTATCAAAAAAATATGATAAGATTCGTGAGACTCACAAATAGGTTATGAAAGCTTGCACAAATTGTTTACTTGCTTTCCTTTAGGAAATCTGCCATATTGAATGGTGCTTTTAATTTTCTTTGCCTTCCAGATGACTTGCCTTGGTCTTTTTTTGCTTCGTGTTATTTGAATGAGCATTTACAAAAAAATAATAAACCTATGTTCCACTTCAAAATGTACACTGTTAGACTCTCAACTGTTTTCACATTTAATCTCTTCTCTCAATTTGGAAGAGAAGGAGGTTATCAGTACTAGTCAATATGTATTCATCAAGGTTATGGCATCTCCTGCTCCGGAGATATTCAAAACCCAGCTGCACTCCATCCTAATGCCACCTGCTCTAGGCAATCTGCTTTAAAAAAGAGTTGGACTCAATCTCCAAAGGTACCTTCCAATCCCAATGATTCTCCGATTGTGAATTTCTTTCAAGGAAAAATCATGCACAAAGTGTCCTTTTTACTACATCTACAAACCAATCTCAATAACCTTCATCATATCAGAAATGAGATCAAATTCTATTCCTGAAAGTTTTTTAACTAACAGCCAATTTCTTGGATTTGATTTCCACTAGAAGACTGATAAGCTGCTGTACATACATTGCTGTTTCTATTAAAAATATTTTTTCATATTTTATTTAGACTTTCATGTCAACTTTAGTTTCTTTCTGCCCATTATCCTTTCCCTTTTAGCTGTTTATCTCCTTTTATTTTTTTTCTGGTGACTGCTAGTTCTAAGATATTCTAACTGGACACCTTTTTCCAGATTTTGCTTGATTACTTGATTACTGTTGGATATAGAACTAAGCAACAGCAAGAAAAACTGTTTTAAAGAATGAATATTAAATATGACACGAATTAAATCAAAACTTGAAAGTAGTATAGTAAAGGAAGTATAAAGACATCAGTCATGTTTTCAGCAGTCAGGCAATCAAAGCTGAAGTTTTCATTGAAAGTAATCTCACCAACAATCCAATTTTTTTTTGTTTAAATATACAGCCAAAAAAACTCACCTCCACTAATATGAATAAGCAGGAGACTATAGGAAGAAGACAATAAAAGAAAGTATCAAAGATAGAAGAACAACCCTTGTCCTCATCTGCACTTTCTTGACAAAACAATAAGACTTTGCAGGCAATCAAGAAGATTCACTTGTTATACAGACAGATTTCCTAAAAGATGTGCATGAAGGTCACATGAAAAGTTGCATGTGCCCAGACTGATTTCTGAAATTAAGATAAGTGAAAGCCTCTGCTGCAGCTCACTACACACATCTAAGTGAACAGAAGCTGTTATATCTTGGCTTGCATTGATTTATCATTAATGAGGAAATAGAATTCTTTATTTGTAGATATGTAGATGAGTATTTGACAATACTTTACACTAAATTCTAAAACTTAGACTCTGCTCTCATGCTGGTATTTATCAGAATCAGCTTGTTCTTCCTGCAAGAACTTATTTACTTAATTTATTAGTTTAAAAAGCTCCAAAATCACATATAAAAGACAAGGTTATAGATAATAGCTTTCAAATATACATACTTAAAACCCTGAAGAACTATTAGTTTCTCGAACTAAGGATTTTTAAGTGTTAACTAGAATTTATTGTAATCAAAATGTAGCAGTGTAATCCAAGTGGCAGTTAAAATAATATACTGTATTTTGGAATAAAGCACAAGTCTTGTATTTGTTTTTAATTTTTCCAGCTTTCAGTGTTTCAGAAATATCATCTGTATCAAATCTTCAATTTAATATTTGATCATGAATACCAGAACACAAAAACAATTAAAACAATTTTTCTGAAATATAATTGAATCCACATTCATGTATTTATTCACATTTAACAAAAAACTGAGGCACAATGCCAGAAAAACTTTTTTCCTCTACTGCTGTCTCAGATAATATAATTTTGGATCCTTATGCATTAGAAGAAATAGGCATCCAAGGATGGCACATAGGAAAATGCTTCAGTGCATTAGCTAAAAAGAATTTACACTCCTACATGCAACACTCAATTGGAGGGGAAGGAAGCTAATTTCTAACTTTTACCTTTGCAAGTGTTTTGAGATTTCCATTAGAAAATAAACAATTCTGTAGAACTTCACAAGAAGAATCACTGCAGAATGCCCAGTGGGCTCAAATGAAATAAAAAAGGGACTATCCCTTTTCCTTGTATCCAATCAGAGGACTATTGGATGAAATGGAATGAGCCTTTCTGCCATTTTTCTAGTAGTCTAGCAAGTTTGGCACATGATGGGGTATTACTACGTATGTATGTCATAAGATCAAATACTGCAAATTAAAGACAAAAAAAGAACACCAGCAGATTCATTTCCTCTTAGTTTGGCAGTGGAAAACAACATCATTAGTAGTACCATTAATATGAGTTTATCAGTGTTTGGGAAAAAACAAGATCAGTACAATGTACTTCCTCAGAATTACAAATAAATGTCAGAAAGAAAACAAAACAGATAAAACTTCAGCTTCTCTGATGAACAGAACCAAAGTTTACCAATATACTTGGAACTTGTTCCAAATGATCACATCTCTGACATTAGAAAATTACAACTGTTTGCATTTCTATTTCCTTTTAATAAAATAGGAGAACGTAGTAGGACACAGCTAATGCCCTGTGAGCAATAATCTGTAAAAACTTTAAAGATAAGAATGCCAAATCCTGAAAGTTCTATTCAACATCTTAAATAAAAATAAAAATTCAGTTTACTTCAGTAGCAACGTAATGAGTAAATCAACATTAAAAAAATCTCGGGAATTTATTAATTCCAGTAATACAGAAATTCCACGCAGTATAATGATTCAGATCTCCACTTCTACTCAAGGGGTCAGAGCATGTTCCCGGTCTTGAACTATGACTTGAACTTGAAACAATATTTAACCTTTATCTTCATGTTGCACAAGATGACTGCTACTGTGCCACTCATCTATACAGATTTAGTAAGATATAAAATGACCTATGTATCAAATGAATGAGTAAAACCAGATATAATTATGTGTCTCAGTAATTACACTGACTGGACTCAGTCCTGAGCGAGTTTTAAACAATTTCTACATATAATTACATCCCCAAACCAGTTTTATTCTAACCTACGAAAAAGCCCTGAAGATTTTGTTAAATTCTTAATAAAATCAGCAAGTTTTGCTGTGCCTATCAGTAAACCATAATAGGCTAAAACAAGATTACTTGCTTATATACTGTGATGAATATTTTGGGATATTTCAGTTACAGTGCATCTTCTCTCAGACTGTACAGCAATAAAGTGATCCAAAGCAATCTCAAGTGTAAACAAAGAATAAGTTCATACGTAGAAATTACTCAAGTGTTTGCAGTTTGTTATATTCCAGCAATTCAAGTTTTAGAGAGACCATACTGTTCTGCTGCCTGAAACAAGTATTGGTTTTAGCACCCTGAAAGAAACAAATACATAACAATTTTTTTTTGTGACAGGCACACACATCCAATGAGATCATAAATTAGTTTCCCAAGAGAGGGCTCACAATTAAGATAGGATCCGAAATACAAGCCATTTTATTTTAAGACTCAGCTAATGGATTAGGGGGAAAAAGAAGGTTTAGTTTCATAATATAAAATCTAGCTCAATCTTTTTTTTTTACTATAAACATTAGCACCACTGTAAAGTTATGGAGAGTAGGCTTCTTGTAAAATGAAATGATCTAATTGTAAAATGCATTTGATATCTCCTTGCAGAGAGGTTATTTCTAAAAGAAAAATAAAATATTCTATACTAGATTTCAAAGTTATAACGTCAAGCAATTAATTTTTAGTGCTAAGACTGATGTCATGGAAAAGAAATTTGTAAAAATTTTAATGAGGTTTTACTGTTCCTATTTCAAGCACACTGCTTCCCTTATGTATTTACAATACCAGAATTACTGTTTGTAAGAAAAATTGCACAAGCAAAGAGACTTTATCTGTTCTTCTTTAATGTTGAGAGAATAGAAGTCCTTTAACTCCCCAGCAATCATTTGAAAAAAACTATAGGCCTGCTAGCATCAGAAGTAGGTCAGTAAACTTGTCTTGCATGGTAATAATGTATTATGAACTCATTCTGCTAACTTCTTTTGAGTACAAGAAGATGTTCTGCTAAAGGAATATACCAATAAATTTTGTACTTATATAACAAAGTTTTTAACGTATTGCAAATTCATCTGATTAGCTTTCCCAGTCTTTGGCCATGTCTGCAACTTACCATTTCCATTCTCTAATATAGCCAATGGCTCTCTGCAGGCTGCTGTCTTTCTCAAGGTTGTCATAGTCCTCTGAACTTCTGCCAACAGCACTGCTTGCATTGCCTCAATAATCTGCCATAAATGCAAATTATTATTGGATGATACTGATAATTCAATTTCACAATTTTAAACAAATACTAGACAGTGTTAAGACAGTTCCAGCAGATGCCATTAGAAAGGTAACTTTTACCATTAGACAGTGATAATCACATGGCTCAATATGAATAACCAAATGTTAACTGGATAGCAGTAAAATGATGCAAGTTATGAATTGTGACTACTCTTCACAAATTAAACATTCATTTTCCTTAGTCTCAAAATTAGAATCAACAGTCTACTGCCTCTTCAATACAAGGGGGCCATTGCAATACTTGTTACTGAAGAAAATACCTTCATTTGTATGTTTGCAACAGTGATTTATGGACTGAATAAGAACCTCCTATTCTGATGTTTTTAGAAGTGTGTTTGGTCTCTGAAAAATTTTGTTAATATTTTGCTATAAGTAGTAATCTCCTATTCCTCCAGCTTAATCATGTGAATACAATTTTTTTGCCCAATACGAAGAGTAAAATTCCCCACTAACTCCTCTTATCCAAAAGAAACTGTTGTAAATATGGACAGCCTATAAATGGCACATGATACGTGTTGCACCACATACAGGCTTTAAGATAATGCAGTTTGTAAATGATATGGCAGAGTTACAGTGTTTACTTGCCTTTGCTTAAGCAGAGAAGCCCAAGGAGAACCTGGGAAATTTTAAAACCTAAGGCATTTCTAAATCACATTGAAACCTTTCACAATGGACCCAGGTTTTTGCATTTCCTGGTCAATCTACATTTCAGCATAGCACAGAATGGCAGCACGCGTACCTTCTTTTAATTTATTATGTCTTACAGAGAGCAGATAAAGTTTCTCACCCCCTCAGGTAGTCATTCTCAACTACAAGAAACTTACTGAAAGACAGAGAAAATATAAAGTTTCCAAGACAGCTTACACCATATAAATGTGAATTTAAGTTGCATATGAAAATAAGTTAAATATAGAATATTTATAATATAAATATATTTGTTCGTGTTTATATTGTGTAAATTAATGTTAATAAATTAAATGCAGACTCCCTCAAACTGCCTGGAGGAGTTTCATCTCACTAATCAAGTATAGTGAATTCACAGGCCATCCTCAGTCACAGTTCTAGCCACTCTTATAAATTCAAATCATTAAGCAGAACAAAGGCTTTTAGGTGTCCTTCATGACAAAATATCTTATTATAGACAAGAATACCCTGATCAAGTCCACAGTGTGAAATTTCACAGCAAATGAACCCAGTTCTATGTACTGTTACATAGTGTAAACCTTCATCTTGTCATAATAGTACTTTATTTTACAAGGGAAACCAAAGGCAGTTTCCATTTCCTCACATCCATAAAACACTGAGCTTTGGTGATTACAGATCCTACTTTATATCGGACTCTTACAACGTATCTATAGTAATTAAGAGACTGAAGCCCTGAGAAGTTTTCATTGTCTTAAGAAAATTGTTGACAGAACAAATATTTCTGACAAGAATCACACAAGGAAATTGTGCACATTACCTATTTCTTGTGTTTTTTGATCTGCTAAAAACATGTCACTAATTTGGATCAGATATTCATTATCTGTTCCATTGTTGTGTATGCCATCCAGGCAGCATTTGTAACATGTAATTTCCTCTAACATCTTAGAGTAGAATAAAAAACCTGCTCCAAATGGCACAACATGATATTGTGGAAGCACCTGTATGTCTCTGCAGGCAGCCTGTCTATCATTCTGTTGAATCCACATTACCACAGGGCTCGCTGTGGTTTCACGTTTGGTTTTGTTCTCTCACTGTGTTTTCCCCAGCAATCCATATACCTCATCTGACATTATCACAAAGTTTAAAAACCTCATGAAGATTTACCTGTTTTTAACACAAAGCACATTTAAGTGAATAGTTTTAGTCTTTGACATTTTCCAGTCCACTCTTAGCACCCTTCTGGATTACATGTATTGGCTATCTTGTTGGCTAATGTGTTTTTATTATCCGTGATTGTGAAAGACGACAGAAATTATGCTTCTCTAAGGTTATACCTGATGAAGTATAAATAGCATATGTCCAACTACAAACAGAGATATTCAAGGGTAAAAGGCAATTGCCTGACTATCAGGGTCTGCAGCTGCAATACCAGAGAACAATTCAGAAAGATAAGTGAAAAGTTATATTGGCTTTCCTTTCTACTCCTAATCAATTATTTCCAGGCATTACTATTCTCTTTATAATGACTGGGCTTGATGAGAAAAGGCATTAGACATCACCCCTGGTTATTGCTCAGACCATAACCTCTGCAGGGTTGAGCCTTCCAGAAGCTGCCTCCCAGATACCTCCATAACAGTCACATCTGTGAGCAAAACCCTACAGATCAAAACATCAGACTTGCAGTACCCAATTTGCTTTCCTCTAATTTAAAGCTCCTACAACAAGAACAGATAGATATATTGGGGAGGGAGGGGGGAGGTGGTGAAGGGCAGGAAGAAGAAGCTGTGACCTACCATGCACTAGCTGTAATGATTTTTTGAGCAGTTTTTGAGAGTAAATTAATTTCCTTCCTTCTAAAGCACAGTGGTATGGCTATACAGGGGATCTACTGGGCAGCAACTATCAAGAGAATTATTATTGTTTAGACACTAATAATGTAGTCAGTTGGCTACAGGTAAAGAATCAGGTACTGTAAAAAGAAACGCATTCAGAGCTTGTTAGGGAAATCAGTGCAAACTTAAGCAACATCAGCAGAGAAGATAGATCATCTTATCAGCAAGGTTCTTGAAATGAGGTGGTCTAACATTTTCAAGTAAAAATCTTTGTAAAATATTTCAGATTCACCCATCTTATTTTAGATATTAATAGAAATTAAGTAACTAAAATAACAAAAAAAATACAGATGTTTTGCATAAATTAATAGAAAGAGATGAGAAAGTCCAGAGTCCGAAAATCTGAACAGTTTCTATTCTGTGTCCATCTTTTCCCATAGATGAAAGAGGGAAGGTAAACCAACTACAATCCTCATGCACATGATTACTTCAGAGATTTAAATATGACATCATTAGTTTCCCTAAGGGGAGAATTACCTAGCTAAATGGCTAGCTAATTAGAGATAGTGCAAAGTTTCTTGCAAAGAACAAGAATACCTGCTGAGGGTTGGGGGGGTGGAGGGGGAGGGGTTGTGAACATCCAAATCAGGACCCAAATGCTATACACTGAAGCTATATAAACTGTTTTTCTGATGATGATCCTGAATTAATACAGCCAAGTTCTAACAAGATCTTATTACTTGGGTTTATATATAAGAGGACAGTTTTAAAATTAGAACTGTCTCATGACTAGGTATATCTGAACTAGTAGGAACAGATGCAGGACTCCTATTGCTGATGAAGGTATTAGTAGTTGATGTGATTAAGCAGACATTTCCATATGGGTGTGCTACACCACAGTGCCCTGATAGCATCATACATAACACAGAGGCAAACTGCTGAGGACCCATAGACTGATGTGTGCCATACAAGTATGATAGACTGCTTGCATGCTGTCATGAATTGAATCCTTGTTTATAGAAGCAAAGACAGGAGACGTTTAAACATCTATCATTTAAAGGAGCCTAGGAATAGCAAAGGAATTATTTTAAAAGAAAGTGCCTGGTGGAAAAAAAATATCCTTATCTCTGTTAGATCCAGCAACATCAAAGAACTACTCGTGTGCTGCAGTTTGACCATTTACTAAATATTTCTTAGAAATTTTGTTTTAATGTGCATTCTTTGACATAAAAAGGTTTCATAAAGCACCAATAATATAATAATAATGTAGAATATAAAAATAAAATATAACCAAATAAGATAACATAGAGTAGCAGATTATTTTAAATATAGAAAAAGGACAACTAAGGGCACAAGTACAATCACCGCTACCTCATTATTATGTATTTCAGGGCAAGTCATTGTGTGTGTGTGGGTGTGTGTGTGTGTGTGTGTGTGCGCGCGCATGCACACTTCTAAAAAGGCCAGCAAAATTCCAGGGTAAGGTTGGAGTGTAGCAACAAAATGCTATATTTCACTTGAAGAACAGGAAAGCGCGTTAAAATCAGTTGGGGAAAATCGTTGGAAAAATATTTTAAAAATACATGCATTTTTAAAGTTTAAGACAAAGACCCTCCCTTGGCCCTTCAGTTTCAATAAGTCAGTTAGTCAGTCAAGCCATGATCAATCATTTGCAGCAGGTTCTTTCCGTTTCCTTGCTTGCACAGAAGCTGTTACAGTACAGTAAGAAGATGAAGAATCAATAAATGGCAAGTCCTTTGAGTCATGTCTCAGAATCAGTACCCTCCACAAAAAAAAAAAGAAAACAAAAAAAGAAAACTTTTTTTAAAGCAGGGTAACTTGGGCTGGATGTACATGACTGCTTAATCAGGCTGTTCAGGATTTATACGTTGTCAATGGAATTGTTGGTGTATAAAGAGAGCGTTAATAATGCCATCCAATTATCGATAAAACAATCATTTTATGTAAGCCATGGGTAGCTGAATACTCATTACTGTTGGTAACACAAATGATTTCGAATATTATATTTACAATTGCTTAAAGCAAACAAAAAACTGTGCTACAAAACTGGTTTGCAAAGATCGCTGCAGCTACAAACCACTGTCTGAATAATGTGAAAATGTGAGTAGAGCTCATAGCATGGTATTTGCAGTACTTCACAATTTCACTGAATATAAAATCTTTTCAGAAGAAAAAGATAAGATTTGGAATAAGCTACATCATATCTTGCTGCAGACTAATCTCCTTTGGCAGATAAGACCATTAGCATTGTATAAATTGATCAGGCACTAAATTCATCGGGAGATATAAATACATAGATCTTACATAATCAGCTATGCTGCAAATGCTAGTTGCATGACTATATAACTCTACTTGATAAAGAATTTTAGCAGCTGGTCAGGCCAGCAAGGGATTAAATGGATTTCACGTGACAATTGCAGCCATAGAAACTCAGTTATTATTTTCCTTTTTTTCATTAAAAAAAGATTCCAGAAAGAAAAAAAATTACTATAAGAGAAGTGGGGGCAGTTTGTGAGGGAAGAATGCTGAAATAATATGCGAGACATGTAGACAATGGAGATATGATAAATAACCAATAAATTCAAGATAAAATGTTGAATTCAACTGGATATATTTACAGAAACCATTAAAATCTTTCTCTAACAGAACAGAGATCTACCACCATGGTGCCATCCCTTGTGTCAGCCCTGGAAAATATTCATTCAATTGAAATCAAGCAAAGAATTGCAGTCAATTTTAAAAGTAGCATCATAAAATAGACCTTTTACAGTTATTTCCTTTTCTAGAGTAAAATCCCTTGTGGATGCTGTATCATGTCTACAGTTTCCTAAATTTGAACGTTAATTGACTCATGCATTTATTTAAATGCATATTTCCAAAATTAAAAATGAATTCTACATTTCACTCTTCAGACTACTTCATAGTTTCCTGTGAATTCTCAGGAAAAATCAATTTATCTCTACAGACATGGGATTTTTCACTAACACGAGCTTTCATTGACACAACTTCAACTGACTTGGAAACCTATAACTTACATTGTTTTTTAGCTCATTCCTGAGGAGTGTTCTAATGCTATATATGGGATTAATTTTATATCCCCTTAAGAATGCATTTTCTGTTTCCTGCATAATACATTAATGTATGATGATGCCCTTATTATAGCCTTTATAAGTTACATCTAGCTATCGAAGAACAGGTAACTCATCTCTAAAACACAAGATAAAATATCATTAAGCATGCTTTGCTTGATAATTACTATTCATTCAGATTAAAGAACAGCTGCTTTCCCATATTTAAATATGTACTGAAAGGCAAGATAGTTTCATTAGTAGCATATGCCATACTGAAATTTTTACTGATTTTTGAAGATACTACTAACATGAGATATGTGATATTTTTACCATACATTACTAACTATTGCACCGTATGAAAGATTCCAAATACTAAGGTCAATATTACCTAAAGATTTCATTATTGTAATTAGCACAGACTGTTTCCTACCTTTATAGACTGGTCACTCCAACAACAAATGAGTTTCAGCAGTGCAGCATTTGCAAAATCAGAGGAACGGCGTCTACTCTTATCTAAAAAACATGTGAGATTTATGAACTGACAGAATACACAGTTGACAAAAAGAAGGATACTTAACATTTTGAATTTTTCACTTCAGCAACATAACAATTCAGCGAAAATAATTTCTCAGAAAACATTTTAATCTCATAAGCATAAGGCATGCATACATTTATTCTCATCCAACATCATATTGGTTCATTTTGTTTACAGTGATCTAATTATTTGCAAAGAGAGCAAACCCATCATGGCTTTTAAACATACTATACTATGTACAATCTGATGGTTAATTTAGAAGAGATCTATACAAGTGTGCAAATTTATACAAACCCAGGAATTTATGCTTTGTGACTAGCAAATCTTTGAGCATTTCAGTGTTCATTTTGTAGACTTGTACCAAGATCCTTCAAACAAATTAAATTTGAAGTTTATAGGATATGTTTCACATAGGACAAGGCTAAGTATGAAAGAACTGAAAATCTTTTTTTTTAAATTAGTCAAAAATCAACTAAATCTAGAAGAATCAAAGCTATAATACCCAGATTAGTAGGTAAAAATTTAATTCTCCTCATTTGATCCTTGTAAGTGTATGACAATAAGAAAGAGAAAACAGGCTTAGATGGAAAAGCATAATTCTATTCTACTTATATTGCTCCCACTTCCAGCTTGCAGCAAATTTACCTTAATTCAATGAAAAGCATATCTACAGATTCTGCAATGCGGTATGCTCATAAAATTAGCTGTTCCACAGTTTTAAAGTTGCTTATACAAAGAAAAACAAGCAGAGCATTGACAGTTTTTTATTATTCATGCTATTATGAGGTGGTGGATCCTCTGAACTTGGAGAAGAAGCTGATGAAGAACCTAGAAATAACCATGTTTTAGTCTTTTCTACATCCAGTGCTTATTACAGGATTTTCTTCCTCAAGATCCATGAAATTATGTAACCTACAGTTTTAAAGAAAATACCTATACTTTTAAGTTGTAAGATCAGAAAATCATTTTCATACACTTCTGCAGTTTCCAATTTCTACGCATGACTTTGTTTGTCCTTCTGTATAGAACGACCAAGAATCTGTCCACCACATTTCATTATGTTCTTTCTCTTTTGTTAATACTATTCAGATTCGGAGCATGTAACTATGGTTTTTGCTAGGTAAATTCTACAACAACTTGTATGTTTCTTTACCAATAAACAGTAAAGTCTAAGCAAAAATACACTGAATTACATTTTGTGCAGTTAATCTGCCCAATTTGCTTTTCTGCTTACGGGCAACAATATTTGTCTGTGGTGAAGGATGTCAAATAACTGCAAGCAAAACTGGAGGGCTGCTAGTTATGAAATATATTCCATATATTTGTGTATGGCTTCTATTATTATACATTGACTTTTCAGGTGCTTTCTAAAGTAAAGCACAATTTAAACTACAAGCATTTAAACATCACGTGTTCAGTCCACTTCTTCCTCATTTAGACTTCAATAGAGAAATGTCACACATTTCAGGACTTTGCTATGAGGTTCCTTGCCAGGCATAAATCAAGCAAATTAGTTGTACGACCCTTTGAATCCAGACACTAATATCTGAATGCCAATACAATATAATGTCTTGAAAACAGGAAACTGATTTGTTTTTGGCAACTCTAAGTGTTAAAGCAACACCAAAATTCACAAGCAACCCAAACACACAACACAACCATCCATCCACTGAGATGGTTCTTACTAGCTGATAGAAGAGCTAACCTGAAGCAACTCTATTGTAAACAAAGTGATCTTTCAACAAGCATCCCTGAGACTGAAAAAGAGTACAGGAAACAGTATCCTATCCAACATTATCTTCTGCTCTCATCCAAGCAGACTTCAGCTTTATGTCCATGTATGTAAAAATACATTGAAGGATCCTGTTCTAATGTGACTTTGTCGTTAATATTTTAGTAATCTCTACTTCTGTGCAATTTATCCATTTACTTTTTATCATCCCTTAACTTCTTTTTTCTAGCAAGTATTTTTGCTATCATCACAAGTTATATCACATAATAATTACAGCATGTCTAAGAGAGAAGAAAAGATACAATAAAAACTGATTTAGATGGGGTTTTCAAGGCTTATTTACATACCAGAAGGTCAAGCCATTACTTAAAAGAGTTCATGTTAGCAGTTTAGACAGGACTTAACCTATAACAGGAACACTATCTGCTAGGTAACATATTGTGAAAAATCTACATTCCAGCTTCTATTCTTTGGTTCACTGCGTGCTGTAAGAACAAATTTACAGTGGCCTGCAAGCCAAGATCAGTGAATGACTGTCTATGGGACATTAGCATGAAGAGATTACTTTATTTTGCCTCAAGCCAAAAGTCTAAGGGCATTATTGAACAGTCAAGATAACCCTCACATTACTAAGGCAACAGTTTGCTTGAAGGGTTGTATATATTGCAGGGTGGGCATGTAACAGTGCTGAGGGAGATGGGGGAGGGTAAAGATGACCATTTCATTATATTTCAGTTTTTCAGATAATTAGAAAATATCTTAAGAAATTCAGCTAATGTGTTTTGCCACACAAAATGTTTCCTTGAATACAGCATTGCTTATCAGTCTACATGCTTTTGTATGTAAAAATGATACTCACAAAAGAAAATAACAGATTAATACAATTTCTTTATGAACATCATTAAAACTAAAGAATGTATATATATATTCATTATTGAAGATAAGCAATATATTTTAGGCGATGAATTATATGCAAAACATAACACCATAAAAAGCTAGTATTGCCATACTTCCATATACTTACTGCGGGGTAACTCTCCATAGAAACTGGGAAATGAAGATATGGCTGCTTCCACATTTTGCCATTTGCTGTGTACAGATTCTGGTTGCTGTAGGCTGAAAGAATATGAAACTTGAATAAAATCTGAACATACAAAAATTTTATGTTTGATTAAAGGTGGATATTCATAGAACCACAGAATGTCTTGGATTGGAAGGGACCTCAGGAATATCAAGTTTCAACCCCAGTCCCAGGCAGGTTTGCCAGCCACTAGATCAAGTACTAGATTGGATTGCCCAGGGCCCCATCCGACCCCACCTTGAACATCTCTAGGCACAGACTACCCACAAGCTCTTTGGGCAACTTGTTACAGCACTTTACCACCCCCTCAGTGAAAAACTTCCCTTAACATCTAATCTAAATGTTCTTACTACCTATTTCACTTACGTATGATATAATTTCTCTTCAAGAATAATTTGAATTTTTCACCCTCAACTTGCTATTGAAACAGTCAAATATCCATAAGCCCAAGACCATCATCTAGATGCAGGAACTGTACATACAACCCAAAATATTTTGATTATGACTGTAACGTGATGTAAAGAATTGCATTAAGATAAAATTTTCATGCAGTATTTGGGTCATCTATCTATTACATAGCATAAAAGTCTAAAAGCGATAGCTTTATTTTATAGGTCTTTCAGAGTTCTAAATTTTCATTTAGAATATGGCTGTAATACTTGGGATTTTGATACAGAGCTAGAACTTAGGAGACTAACATGTATATGAATACCTCTTTAGGAAAACCCTTCAGTACTTGTCTCTGACTAATTTAAGAATGTAATGAAGAAAAAGAATGAAAACAGAAGAAAGCAAGGGAAAAGCCTTTCTGAACTCTTACACTATTTTAAACAATGTTCTAAATACTTTTCTATAGTGACTCTGAAGTTATAGCATTTAAAAATATTTCATCTTTAAAAATCAACTAGTAAGTTGTACTGTTACAAAAACTTCATGCTACTAAACTCTGAAAACTGTCAGCTTGAGCGCTGTTATAGACACAGATATCAAAACTAAGATCTTGTGATAGCTTTTTCCTTTTTATATCCCACTTTTATAATGATATTTTTATGCAAGTTCCTTTATTTTCACAACTGTGATCAAATTGCAAAAAATTGCAGATTCAAAAACATCTTCATGAGTAATAGTTTATAGACTCATCTCCAACTTCTTCCAAAATCATGCTTTTCATACTTTTTTCTTCTTTGGATTGCAAACTGTTTGTTTTGTGAAATGCTCAAATCCTGTTGAAAGATACTATATTTTTATTTGTTTTTAAAACAGTTTAGTACTGGTTTGATAGCATGTTCAAAACATGTAATTCACTGTTCATTGTTTTCACATCCCAACAATTTTATTCATGCAGTCTGGTAGACAATATTAGACCAATATACTACATCCTGAAACTTACTGATTGAAGTCATTACCTGAAAACTTACAAAAGCTCGTCAAGAGTTCTTCAGCCCATGTTAACTGAGGGTGCTTAACAGTCAAATTCATGGTTTACGCAGAAACAAATATACACATGCTGACAAAGACAGAATTTCTGCTCAAAATAAGATCATTTTCATCCAAGAATACGCAATAATATATGAACTGCATTTTTCCAGTTTAGATTCTCCAGATTAAAAGTGTATTTATTTAACAGAAAAGAAAATCCTTTTGCTCTCCTGTAGTAATAAAATCAGATATGCCAAAGAAATTTAAATTTTATTATTGTATTCCCTGGATCTAGGCACAGTTGTCTGTCAATGAAATAATTCTCCCTATAGACCAATGAGTATTTCATTGCCACATGCAGAGATACAGCATTAGCAGAAGAAAGTTAGAATCCTAAAAGCGTAAACCACAAGGCCATGGTAGTATTGTAGTAGTAACATACCAGGACATTCAGCTACACTGCTAGAAATAAATGTGCTTATCTATTAATATGAAATTGGGCAAGAATTTGAATACCAGCTACATACATATTAAGTATTTACTCACTGGCTAGTCTGTACACATTTTTTTAACCTGCTCTGAACTTAAATGTTATAAAGCTTCACATTTCTTGGATTTGTACTCATGTGCCAACAGAAAATAAACTTTCACAGGATGGAAGGTTATATAGCTGTGAAAATGAAAATACTGAAAAGACAGAAGAATCCTGACTAAAGAAAATGAAATTGCTTTTTATCTTCCATATTAGTAATTGAGCTAGTAAGAGTTGTGTTACTGCAGTAATAATTAGCAGATCAGGACCCTTGCAAGCTGTATAAACCATCTTATTAACTTCTTCAGTAAATGCTGCAGCAAATTAAAATTCAGTATTTAGTTTTTCCCTTGAGCATGCAGTAGTTTTAACTAAATCAACTGCTCGAGCAAGTGTGGCTACTTTGTACTTTTAGAAAGCAAATTGTAGAAAGTCACATGTTCTTAGCTTCTTTCAAACTCTTAAATAGGCAAAGTGCATTATTGTACCACAACTCAACATAAACAAAGCTCATTTCAATCTTGAATACAAAGTGAACAATGAAAAGGATATATCACACAGGAAGATTTCAAGAATGAATTAACATCAACTGTGATAATTCCCTCAGAGAAATCATAGAGGAAAAAGTTAAATGAATGATGAATCTCAGTATCACGTTAAATAAATAGTCCTATTCATGCTATGCTTAGAATTAGGGGACAAAAAAAGGGGGAAAGGAAACTTACGGACCACATATCAAACATTTTGTAACAGTTTTTGCAATATATAGGAAAAAAATATGAAGAAAGAGCCATGATGAGAAAAATACTTCGTCATCAGCAGTACAGAGGAAAAGGCCGGGTGACTAGAGCCTTTCAGGTCTGTGTTGATTCACCTCATGTAGTCTAGTTCTGATCTAGTTCCCTGAAAAAGAGTGCTATCCTTCTATATTAGGAAAAAAAAAAAGCTTCTTCTCAGTTATTTTCCAGATGCGTGAGAGATAAAGAATAAAGAAGGAAAAGCCTCTAAACTTCGTATGAGTGTGCAAGTACATCCAGGACAAAAAGAAGAATGTTATTTCTACCCAAACTTACAGCACATGCTATTCCTGCTAAGGAGAGCAAAAGGAAAATTCAAAGCTTAAAAATACACATAAATATTACATAACAATTTAAAAAAAAACAAAAACAAAAACACAAAAAACAAAGCATAGGGAGAAACTCAAGAGCTCTTATTCAGACGAGGTCATTTTTTTCTATACAGCTTTCATAATTTTATGGAAGAGATGTTCCAAATACAGAGTTTATGTCTGGCAAAATGTTCAAATCTAAAATGTTTCTATATTTATACATCTCTGCCAGAGCATTGTACAACAAAGTGCAAACAAATTTTGTTTGTACAAAAAGAAATTGAAGTCCAATCTGGAATCCTGGAAATATCATTTTGTGTAACAACTTGCATTGAGTATGGAACAGCAGGCAATGTAATAAGCAAGAAGAGCAACTGAGAAATCCATGTTTGTCTTGTAGGATCTTGCATATCTCCTGAGGCATCTTGAACGCCTACAGCTTTGTGGAAGATGCACAGTCCTTTGCAGCACAAGGATCAATATTTTTTGTTCTTCCTATTGCCTCTAGGCTATAGCATCAACAACACTGAAGTTAATTGTCCCGAAAATACTAAATACAGACCAACATAGGTTTTCTGAATGACAACAGTCTGTGGACAGACAATATCCATTGCCTGATTAGTATGCTCTATTTGGCTGTGTCAAATAATGTTGAGCATGCTATTTTTTTTCCCCTTAATGCTGAAAGAAGCACTAAGTCAATTAAATTTGTTTTGAGTAACAAATGCTATTTGGGATCGTTCTTACAACACGAGAATGTTACTTCAGATAGGATAACTAGGACAGATTGCTTTTGGCTCACATTTTGTTTATCTATGAAGACAGGGTAAGTATATTACAGGAAGTGAAAGTCAACACAGCACAAATGTGTTAATGCGTCCAAATATGTCTTAGGAGACCTCATTACTCTCTTTAAACTCTGAGAAAAAGCATTCCCTCTGAAAGACAGGATGTGAAGTTGGATAGCTCTAATTCTTCTTCAGATGAAACAAGTTTACTCATCAGCTAAATAGAAAAACAGATATTCAACTTTCTTGCAACCTCCTTTCATTTTAAGAGCATTCTACAAAACAAAGCTCTAGAAGAAGAAAGCAATTTGCTGTTAAGGAAGAAAAGATTTTCTTACCTTTCAATTTGACTCGTATATGCTGAAGGCACGTTAAAAACTCTGTTGATTAAAAGTATTCTGCTTAATAAGAAAAAAATTATTTCAGCTCCCTTTGTTCCGTAAACATTATTCACTGCTCCATCTTTCTCACCAGTGTGCCCTTCGGTTGCGGCAAGGTACTTGTTTGATAAATCAAGCACTCTTTTTGAAAACAAGTTGCTTGAAGTGTGTTCTTCTAGCACACCACCATCAGTACATTTCCATCCCGGCAACATCAATGAGAGGTGGCTTTCATTTGACACAAGTCCAAAAGCAACCGGGCTCTGCAGCCTTAAGATATCTAATTGCCCAACAAAAAGATTATCTATTTCTTTATCTACACCCCAGGGTAAGAGACATGACAAAAGCAGTTTAGCTGTATCTGTGGTGATGTTCACATCAATGTTTCCTGATGGCTGCATTTTAGTCTTTCTTGAACTCTTCATTTTTTTCTGTCTTTTTATGCCACCACTTTCTTCCAAAGGCCTAATTGTGTTAGAATCTATATTGACCTGGTTTGCACAAACAGTACCTACTTGTCCATCCACTGACAATGTGAACCCAGCAGTTTTATTTCTTTTTAATGTTAGCGCTCTTTTCTCAGTAGTACTTTTGGCTCTTTCTAGAGCATCATAGTTGTGGAATGAATTTGATGACTTCAATCCACAGAGTTGAGATGACAGCAGAATATCCACAAGTTTTTCCAGATCAAATAAGAGAACATGAAAGTTTGCGTTGTTCCATTTTGTCTTAACTGGTAAAACAGTAAAGGGCTGTTGAATAAGGCTGTTATCTGTTACCTGAAAGAAAAATATTTAGCATTCAAACAAATCCATAGTATTTTGTAGTTTTGGAGATTTCAGCAAAGTTGCACAAGGAATAGGCTAAATCCATTACATCCCCCATTAAGTTCAACGTAATTGCATTCATTCACTTGCTACTTCAGAACAAGATTTTTCTTTTAAATAGTTTATGCAAAGTGACATGCTTTTAAATATTGTAATCAGGATTCTTTAATGACTTTGAAATATAGAATACTCCAATACATTTTTATTGCAGAGATCAAAATACATATTTTTTTTGAGACACACTTCAGATGCTTTTGTAGAAAAGCAACTACTTTAGTTCACAGAAATCACTGTGACTCACTTTGCCAAGGGGAGCTTTCTGAATGTGCTAAGAGAATCACCAAGTGTTAAAGTCAAATTCTGAGATGGTGACAAAACGGCTATCAGAATCCTGATTTATTGTTAAAGAAGTACTTCTATCTTCAGGAAGCAGCAGACATGAGTATAAACTTCATTTTGATTCCTTTACCTTTTTTCTTTAAGCATTTACAACTCATATGCTTTTATTGTCCTGCACTAGCCTATGCTCTCAGTACTGTGTTCATACTAGGGATTTCATCTTTACAATCACAGAATCAGAATCACAGAATGGACAGGGTTGGAAGGGACCTCAAGCACCATGAATCTCCAACCCCTCTGCCACAGGCAGGGCCACCAACCTCCCCATTCAACACTAGACCAGGCTGCCCAGGGCCCCATCCAATCTGGCCTCGAACACCTCCAAGAACGGGGCATCCATGACCTGTCTGCAGCACCTCACCACTCTCAGTAAAGAATTTCCCCCTGACATCCAGCCTAAATCTCCCCTCCCTCAGCTTAAAACCATTTCCCATAAGCAAGTACGTACAAGCAGAAACATAACAAAGGAGCAAATTTTCAGCCCAGTGAAGCTTTTGTAGAGAGGCAATAGTGTCAGAGGAAAACAGGATTTTCTAGATCATTTAATTTCTATTGTGACAATCAGAAATACTCTACCAGTGCAAATTAAGAGCTGTTTCTGCTATGCGTATGAGCTGAATCTTAAAATAAACCATCAGATATTAGTTAAAAAAAAAGAAACATTGACAGCTAAATTTAGTTTGAAAATGATGTCAACCATTTTCATTCAAGAGTACTCTTTACATAACTTCTTTTACATTATGAACAAGTTTTGTAGGATTAATTGTTCCTGATCTGTTACAAGAAACAAACAAACAAACAAGAAAACCACGAACAAAACTTTTGACTCTATTTATTCAACAAGTTATTTGACTATTTAGTTTGGAGAAATAAAATGATCCAGTGTTCTGTTAATTAGTGAATGATATTAAAAACAGATGAAAACACACTCTAAATACAAAACATTAAGCCTCCCTATGGAGATCCTTAGATAAACAAGGGGTTATAGGATAATGTTCATGCTTTTTTTGTTTTCCCCCACCATCTCTTCCCATTAAAAAAAAATACTGTAGTTAAGCATTAGGATTATTTTCCATCTTTAATTATACTGCTTCCTAACACTCAGGTAAAGTACACACTGGAATTCACAAACTAGTTCTGAAATAAATAGAAGATTCATACATTTCTGTCTGTTTTATACACTTATATTTTGTTGATTCACATTTAGAAGCTTTTAGGAAAAATCACCACTCGAACAAGAAAATATCTTGGCAATGTCAATTGGTTGAGGAATCTGGTGATGCTACTGGGCGTGAGGTCACAATAAATGTTTATTGGCAATTCGAAAGCTTATTGACATTGATCCTAAAAGCATCTACCAAGTTGTCTTAGCTCTCTGCAATAGGCATTTCATTTCAGTGAAAGCAGGTGGACATCTAAAGCTACAAACATAAAACACTATTTAGGACATATGGACAAGCTATTCTCTCTAACATAAGATGACAGAAAATGGAAGGAAGCCCATAAAAATAACTGAACTAGAGTGCTGGGAATAACATCTGATGATGGTTATTGAAAAGTAGATTAAGTTATTTACATTCTGAATGGTGAATTTGTTAAAGTTCCACAAGTGTTTTACAAAACTAGATTTATTGGCTACAGATAGGTATTGTCATTAATTACTATTTTTATAATAAACACATGAAGAGTTTAATAATGGCATCTGAAAGTAGGCTAACAGCAGCAGTAACAAAGAATGGACTGCCTCTGAGCCATGTGGTCCAACTCAGAGTTCTCCCTGTTGTCATCACACAGGTCTTGCTTTTTTTTTTTTGACAATTTTTGTTCAATGCAGTTTTATTTAAAGTTTGAAAGACAGTCCTGGGTTAATGTGATCATATTCTATATCCAAATATCAAGCTATTCAAGCCTTATTCCCCAAATGAATTTCAAATTATTACATTAAGAAGTCCTCCAATAATACAAAGGCTTCCTTCAGTTCTGCAAGTTAAGTGACAACTCTGTGTTGTACTACTAAGCATAACCCACAGATTTTGATAATCACCAATTTCAAAGGACAGTATAGAGATCTTCTCTTTTTCTAATTCACCCTTGCTGATTAAAAAAATTATTTTTGATATAGCCTACCTTCTGACTCTTCAGTGATGAATACACCAGCTTTCTTTTACCTACTTCCATTAGTAGCAATTAGGAAGATTACTTTTAACCGTCTTCTGAAAACTATTGTAGGGAAAAAGCTTTTCATGGTTTTAATAAGTTGATCTAGATTTTAAAATCTAGCTACTGTCCTTTTCATCACTGTCAAAGTGTGTGACTCTAAAACAATTATGAGCATTCAGACGCTCCACTTGACTTGTTTATAAGAATTAGCTGAATACGCTCTCCTTCTGCATCACTAGCAATAAGTTTAAGGAATCTATCTGAAGTATATCTGTACCAGTCAAGAAAGACAAATTTATAAAAAAAATAAACATTTTCATGAAGTGTAAAAACTGAAACACATAGCTAAAAGTGTTTCCATTGTCATAACATAGCTAACTCATTGTTTTAAATCTAAAACTAAGAAGTAGCAAGTACTTCATTTTTATCTGAAAATGGTGTCATCGTGCATCATTCCAAAAGCACCATCAACCATTTCAGCTAAAATGTTTCCTAGTCACAAAGTATCAAACAAAGCTTTTAAAGACTTATAAAATCTTATTTTAAACATTCCCAATCCCAGTGTAAGAGTGTTGCCACCACCACCCAAACCAGCAAAACATTAGATGCTAAAGTTCAGTAGTGAGGCCAGATATCCCTCATTCAAAAAAAAAAAAAAAACCACAAAGCTTTTCACATCAATGACATTCATGCTAGCAATTAGAATTCAGAATATTTTGCTTCTAGGAGAAGCTTGCATTCACTGAGAGTGTTCCCTTTGAGCCTTCACCTGTGAGCTTTTAAAGAAGCATGGCTACAGACCAAAATGATACCACATTCATGAATCTCTTGAGCGTCGTTTCGGACTGAAGCACAGCTTTCCATATCTAAGAAAGAACAGGGATTCAGGAGGGCTTTGAAATGGCAAGTTATGTTCTGTGCATAGAAACTATAAGATAAGAGATCCCTCATTTGCTGCTAAAGGTATTATAGCCAGGACAAAAGCCATTGCAACAAACTGAAAAATCTCTCATTTCTTTTGACATGGAATCCCTTCCTGCTCTTGGAAGATTATTCTTTTACACTCCTCCTTCTCCCTTTACAAATCTTTACCAAATCACCTTAGCACCAGGACAGTATTTTTTCCTGTGGGATTTGGGGGCTGCCTTCTCCATAGTCATGAAATACATCAGTGTTACCTTGAAAAAGTTAAATGCATACACATTACAAAACTTTCACGGGAAGTAAAATTCAAATCTTATTTTATCTAGCTGCCTTTTCTCTAAAGGCACTTTCCCACTGGGATCCTCCTTAATCTAGGAACACTATTCCACTTAAAATACACACGTCCATTAGCTGGCAGTGACTCTGTATTGTTTCAAATCCTCGTGTATATGTACTTTATTTTGCGTTCCACTTTTCTTTACCAGAAGCACTTTTTTTTTTTTTTTTTTTATGAGTTTTGTGCTAAAAATACATTTGACAAAAATGATCCTGACGTTCATTTTACGCAAAAGAAATAAACAGGTAAGCAGACTTTGGAAAGTAAACCAGACTCAAAAAATACTTAGGGGTCACTTTAATACCACTGAAAGAAATAGTTCTCAAAGTGAGTGGTATCAACTTCTACACAAAAGCATGCCTGAAAGTATTAAATGGAATTCTTATATCCTTTTGGTCTTCTTTATCCATTGTACTTATTTTTATATCAAACATAACATACAGCTAACAAACAGGTCTGAAATTTCCCAGTGCCTTCAAAGTGAATCAGTAATGTAAACGTGAGTTAGCCTGATGAGAAATATCCGTCCCTTCCTTCCTACACTACTTCTTCTCCACCCCCCCATTGCACAAAAATAGAATTTAGTTAGATTTTGGGTGCAGGTGGTAGTGATTTTTCAAAGTACTGTCAAAAGAAAGATTCATTAAAATAAGCACTGCTTCTGATTTTGGAAGAGCAAGGTATAATTTCTAAGAATCCTGAGGATTTGGGTTTTGTTTTGTTGGTTTATTTTTTCTTAGCAGATTTAAATGTTGCTATTTTCACATATACACTCTTAATAGACTACTAACACTGACCCAACAAAACAGAGCATTTAAAGTCCCATGATAATATCTGCATCAAAGGAACGAGAATTCCACTTTAGAGAATAAACAATCCCTTATTAAATATAAGTACTGAAAAGAAATTGCTAATTAATCAAATACCGCCATCCTGTTTATGTGTATTCAAGGAAGACAATCTGTAAACAAAAGTTCATATATTTCACCATTCCACACGTTTTTAAGCAAAAAAAAAAAAACAACTAAATCATTAAAACTGCTCTTTACAGTCATTACAGACAGACTATATTTCTGAAATAGTACCAGAGTGGGAGACGAAACTATCATTACGCTCATTTCAATAGAATGAA